AAGAGGCTCAACCTGAGGCTTCTGACATTTGAACAGAAGGTACCTTGCATAAGACTGTTATAGGATTGATTGATTGATTTTAGAGATTTTATTTATTTGAGAGAGAAAGAGAGAGCACAGGAACAGGGGGAGGGGCAAAAGGAGAGGGAGAAGCAGCCGCTCTCACCGCCCGCCTAGCAGGGATCCTGGGGATAGGGTGGGAGTGGGGGTATGGGGGTGGGGGTGTGGGGGGCACTCAATCCTGGAACTCTGGGATCATGACCTGAGCCAAAGGCAGACACTTAACCTAACAGACTGAGTGCCCCAGGCGCCCCGGGACTATTATAGGATTTAAAAATTAACAGCAACTCCTCATAAGCAGCCTAATAGTGGTGTGTATAACCAAATCTATTTTTAAGACATTAGTATTTCCTAAATTCTGTGAAGCTGTACAGACCTGATGACTTCTAGTTTTTAATGGCTCAGCAAGGCAATTCAACCACATAGTTCATTTTTTGGATTAGTAACAAGGTAGTGTGCTTTCCTAGGAAATGTTTTAAAGATCACAACCCTAAGTTTCTTTAACATTTATTCTTGCATTGGTGTAAAATGTTTTCTTTCATACTTTGATCAGGGACATGAAAGTGTTATTTAAAGTACTTTTTTACTTATGCATTCTATAAATGGCAGGGAATAAAAATGTTTCATTTAAAAGAGGGAAGGCTGATGAAATCTGCCTCACATGATTTACTAGAATCTTGGGGGAATTGCATTTTGTACCCTATCTGCATAAATAATCTTGAGAGACTACAGTGCCTTTTTAATAAATTGACTCCTAAATTACTTTCCACTGTACCAAACACATCATTTTAAACTCACTAAGTTTTCTTTCGGTTACCATGCCCCAGTCTAGACACATTCTCATTAAGGCTATAACTTTCTTTCAATTACGAGAGCACTGTGGAGACTATTTAATAAGTGCAGGCCCAAAGATGAAAGTCTTTGCAGAGATTACCTGACTCATTTCTGAAGAAAGCAAGTGCCTGACCTTCATAAAAAATACTGTATCTAAGGCAGTGGGATGTGCTATTTGCTTGATACAAACTAAAAAATCTAGTTCTTTGTCCCTGTCTCCTGCTGGAGGACTGTGATTTGTGGAAAATGAGGTCAGTGAACTAGAGAGTAAAATCTGGCTGGGGGAAAACATGTAAATAGATAGTACACAGTTGTGTGGGATTGCCTGTCATCCACTTAGCTCAAGCTGTTTTCTAGAAAGCCTTCCTTGACATGCCCAAATTGAGTGGTTCTCTTCTAGCACCTTTTATTTATCACCTTATTTTGTCATTATCTATTTATGTGTCTGTCCCCACCATATTTAAAGCAAAAGCCATGTTTTACTCATCCATGGAACAGACACAATATCTTTGCTAATGTTTAAATTTTTGATCAGGAGTAATCAAAATAATACACTTATATTAGCAACTGTTAAGTAATAAAGAAATCTTTCCTTTGCAATACATTATGTCATGCAATTGTAGGAATCCCCAACATATTTAATTCAAATTTTAAAAACTTCTGTCAATGAAGATGTTGATACTTTGGTCTTTGTAAGTGATTCATTTTGACCCTCTATATCCTGCAGGAAACTATTTAGTTAAGATTCACAACCAGAATGAAAAGAACTCCTGTGTCTATAACCATATAATTATGCTTGGATAGATGGTGAATTGGAACACGAGCTCCTGTGCCGTGAAATCTCCATCATCCAGGATATTTGGATTCATTACTTGTGGAAACAAGGTCAAGTTACCAATCTCCTTAGCTTAACCTTTACTAAATTCTTGAGTCTGTAAAACAGTTCCTAAGAATTACTGACAAGTTCAGTAGTGAAAGCAAATGACTTCTTAGGGCCTCACCTGTATTGAACTAAAATTAACACTGAAGTAGGAGTTTGGAATCAATGCCACTTGCCCAGTGGTTTCCTTGAAGTGAGGATAAATAAACAACTGTCAGTTTCAGGGTTTTGTTGCCTCTTCATCCAAAAACATTATTCCCGCTACAACCTACCCTCCACTAAGCCTCCTTAGCTCTCTAAGTTTCCCACATTGAAAGATTTGTTAGAATACAAGCTATAATGTATTATAAAAACAATAATATATATAAAGTGCAGGAAGTCTCTGGTTAATGCATATAAACCAAACTGATGATTATTTACATAATGGATGATGAAACTCACATCCTCCCTTTGCTCTTTATAGAAATTTATCTTTCTAATGAGGTTGACATCACTTGAATGAGACTTAAAGCTGAGGAGTTCAGATTCTGAATGAACAGTATTTTAGGAAGTAAAGGAAGTTGAAAACTCTCAATTCAAATTGCAAGAAATTATGGGGCATTTCTGATACTCTGAATAGGGCCTCAAACATTTTCCTATTACCATAGGAATACTTCTATGTGGTGGTTAGGTACTAGATCGGCATTAGTACACAATGTAACTCTCCCAGTCTACTAGAAATTAAACGGCTATTATAGGTTACACCAAGACCTAATTGCTACATTAATGTTATTTGTAGTGGAAAATATGTCTTGCATTAAAAAATAAACATTTTGAAATAAATTTTGAAAATCTGTGTATAGCAAGAAGACTGCATGATTATTAATCAGCTAGAAAGAAGGGCTCCTTATAAAGACAATCAATTACCTTTGATTTTGATGAGCTAGGAACAGTTGAGATAATTGTCAAATTCTCATGATATATGTCGATGTGGACCTGAATTATTTTCCTTCTTCTCTTTATACAAAACTTTTAGAATGGATTAGAAAATCATTCCCCATCAGGACAGAAGGAAAATGATAATGATTTATGTTGAACAACTTTGGGCATTTAGATGGCTAGATATTTCTATATTTATATACATATATATTTATTTGTAATGAATAATTTATTGCTTTAACAAATGTTTATTTAATACCTGTATTTTGAGACAATGATAAGTCTAGATGGTAGCAATGCAGTATTGGATAAAATAAGCATAGTTCCTGTATTTATAGACTTTATAGTTTATTTTTTATTTTCTTAGACTTTATAGTTTAAAATGACAAGACGTACTAGTAAACAATATAGTGCTATAAGTGATAAAATAACCATGTGTGATCTAATATGATTAAATGTCCTAAATCATGAATACCAAAAGGATCAGAATGCTGAATTAGAATTGACTCTACAACTTAAAAGAAGCAAATTATTACTACTATTCCCTTCTATTTTAAACCTTATTACTTTTGAGATTGATAGGAAGGTAAGAAATGAATATGGTGAACTAGTGTATTTGATATGATGTATTATGACAGACTGGAACTATAATAAATCTTAGGTGTGTCATTAATATGGAATTATCACTTGCATTATGCTTCTTCAAAAAGTCTTGAAATTTTGCATATCTTTTCTCACAATAGTAACACTGCTACAGATTTTCTGAAGGAATTACTGTGAAAATGTTGCAAAGATATAGCAAAAGCATGTTCTCTAGGACCTTTGTGTTAGTTATATATATACTATAATATAGTATAACAAAGAATATTTCATTTTCTTTGATAATCTATAGAAAATATTTAATTGACATGAGAAATGCCCGTGTAAGTAGGCTAAAAAGCCATATAATATTATAGTTTGTAAAATTTTGTATTATAGGATTTCCACCTTTTGAATATTTTGAATAAAGCTGCTTTGAACGTGGGTGTGCAAATATATCAGTTCATTGGGGTAAATATCCTGACATGCAATTGCCGGGTCTTGTGGTAATTCTTTTTTTTTTTTTATCATATTTATATTTTTATAAATAAATATTTTTTTTTTTTTTTATAAATTAATTTTTATTGGTGTTCAATTTACCAACATACAGAATAACACCCAGTGCTCATCCCGTCAAGTGTCCCCCTCCGTGCCCGTCACCCATTCACCCCCACCCCCCGCCCTCCTCCCCTTCCACCACCCCTAGTTCATTTCCCAGAGTTAGAAGTCTTTATGTTCTGTGTCCCTTTCTGATATCTCCCACACATTTATTCTCCCTTCCCTTATATTCCCCTTCACTATTATTCATATTCCCCAAATAAGTGAGAGCATACACTGTTTGTCCTTCTCCGATTGACTTACTTCACTCAGCATAATACCCTCCAGTTCCATCCACGTTGAAGCAAATGGTGGGTATTTGTCGTTTCTAATGGCTGAGTAATATTCCATTGTATACATAAACCACATCTTCTTTATCCATTCATCTTTCGATGGGCACCGAGGCTCCTTCCACAGTTTGGCTATTGTGGACATGGCTGCTAGAAACATCGGGGTGCAGGTGCCCCGGCGTTTCATTGCATCTGAATCTTCGGGGTAAATCCCTAACAGTGCAATTGCTGGGTCGTAGGGCAGGTCTATTTTTAATTCTTTGAGGAACCTCCACACAGTTTTCCAGAGTGGCTGCACCAGTTCACATTCCCACCAACAGTGTAAGAGGGTTCCCTTTTCTCCGCATCCTCTCCAACATTTGTTGTTTCCTGCCTTGTTAATTTTCCCCATTCTCACTGGTGTGAGGTGGTATCTCATTGTGGTTTTGATTTGTATTTCCCTGATGGCAAGTGATGCAGAGCATTTTCTCATGTGCATGTTGGCCATGTCTATGTCTTCCTCTGTGAGATTTCTCTTCATGTCTTTTGCCCATTTCATGATTGGATTGTTTGTTTCTTTGGTGTTGAGTTTAATAAGTTCTTTATAGATTTTGGAAACTAGCCCTTTATCTGATATGTTATTTGCAAATATCTTCTCCCATTCTGTAGGTTGTCTTTTTTATAAATATAACAGTGGTTGTTTTTGAGAATGGCTTTAATCAAAAATTATTATTGTCTTCCTTTTGCTCATGTGTATTTTCTAAATTCATAACTTCCTTAAATTTATGTCTTAATAAACCCTATTTGATATCAATAAAAACATTTGAGAATCTCTTAAAACAGACCTGAGAAGAATCACTTACCCTAGTCCCAGCAGCTGACAGACATCATTTGAAATCTGGGCCGTCCAGTTGTCAGCACAAGCTACATGCCATCTGCTCAGGATTCTGAACTGCACCAAACCATTGTTGTTCCTTGTGCCGTTGAAAAGACGTACTAAAGAGATTAGATCATACACAAGGTCATTTTGGCCTAAGCTGTTAAGAGTAAATGATGGGCTCTGAGGTGCCTGGATGGCTCAATTGCTTAAGTGTCTGACTCTTGATTTCAGCTCAAGCCATGATCTCAGGTCCTGAGATCGAACCCTGCCAGGCTTTTGCTGGGGGTGGAGCCTGCTTAAGATTCTCTCTCTCCCCCTCTCTTTGTCCCTCTTCCCCTTGCTTTCGCTCAAAAAAAAAAAAAAAGGTAAACTACATGTGTAATGTTCTTAACATTTAGAGTTATGAGATTGATTGTAATTTTTCTTAAGAGTATGTTAGAAGGCCTAACTTGAAAAATACAAATTTGATAGACTTAACATTGCTCCTTCATATAACTATAAAGATGGAAAAGGCATTTCCAATAAACAGAAGTTTATTGCATATCAATACAGCAAATAAATAGAAAATAAAGTTATTTGTGAGGATCATGTCTTATAAGCTTAGTCTCTAAAAGAAGGAAAATTCAAGTTCAGAAACAACTTTAGGCATTTTTTCCCCTTACTTATTTCTCTAGAAACTATTTTCTTTGGCCTTGTTCTTTTGCTGCTTAGTTTCCGTCTTCTTCCCCACTACCTTACAAGCATTTTGGATACAGTATAAAGGCTATGAGTGGCTGAGTAGAGACTGGACCCAGTGAAGCTAGTTTATCAAACAGGTGAAACATCAGCAATGGTAGTTTTACCACAAACACTATACTGTAATTCTGTAGGTTAATGTTCTTGTTCACGTTTAAAATCAGGCAGACTCAAGTTGAAATGCAGCTCTAGCATTCACTAGGTGTGTGATCTTTGGCAGCCACTTAACTTCTCCAAGCCTCAGGTTTATCATGGCCAAAAAGAACTTATTCTTATTATGTTAAGAGTGTTTTACAAGTGCTCAGCTACAGTGCATGGCATAATAAGTAGCATTAAGTATTTGCTTAGAAATAAAAGCAAGACATAGTAAAAGTAGTCATTGCTCATCATTTATAGAGATCTGGAAGTGGGCTAGACTGAGGACTCAACAAAGCAGGAGTAGTAGGTACTGAAGAACCAGAAATGCAAAGGAGCAAGTCTAACATAGTCAGTTCTAAGTAAATATGAGGATGTATCCATACACAGGCAATGGGCAAACTATCCTAGCTAATAGGGTGGTGCTAGAGGGCCTGGTGCAGGCCATTGTCTCTCTGTCTATGGTATTTTATGCTTTTTATGTGAATATGAGTTGTCCTAGACTTAAAGTTACTAAATGCAGTCAAGCTTAAATAGACAAACAAACGAAAAACAGGGATCTGCTGGTCAACTTTTCTCCTAACCAGAATAACATTACTAAGTGCTGAAATCATTGGGGGGATGATCATACCCCAAAGCACCAAGACATATATTGATAACCACATTCTGAATCTTTTACATTTGTAGAAGCCAAATGTAGAGGCTAACATGATTAAAGTGTTTTCCTAAAAATGGAACATACCACAATGTGCTTCATCTGAGCCATCCTTACAGTGCGGAAGGCCATCGCAGAGATTCACCAATGGAACACACTCTCCATTCTTACACTGGAAATCGTCTTCCTTGCAGGGCTCTATTGAGAGAGAATATTTACTTATGGAGTGAAGAGGTGACAAATACATGATCCCATAGTATCCATCCCATTCCTGCCTCTTTACACATTGGCCTTTTACCACAGTGAGTGATTGAGGTAGATTTAATATGAAGTAAGATTACATACACTTTGTTCTCAGAATACCTCCACAATAATAGGGTCAAAGCCAGAGATATGGCTTGAGAAAAGTGTGCACAAAACCTTAGGCATCTTTTCAGAGAGCACAGAGCAGTTCCAAGAGATGGCCAAGAGGTTTAGGATACACTCCTCCCTATCTCTGTTCGTCTCTTCAATAGACATCTCTACCCCAAATTAACATACAAGCAACAACCATTGGAATGTTACACAAGCATAGGAGGATCTATTGATTTTACCACACGATACATCCAAACCTGTATCATATGGAAATGTGGAAGTGGCCTTTTGATGAGACCAAAGTTGGACCAAGCTAGAAGCAGTGAGCTCGGTTATAGCCTGGGTCAGGTGGGGGAAAAGTAGTCACAAATAAATGGAAACTCTGCAATAGCAGTAATTTGTAAAGAACTTGAAGATGGAGCTCTAAACAAGTAAATCAGGTTGTAGTCAAGATAATGTGACTGGCATATGAAAAAAATAGAAGGAAAATGAAAAGGCTGGACAAAGAAGGAACTGAGTGAATCTGGAGGCAGTTGGTGGTTTCCAGAATTTGGGTCATGCAAAAATAGACTTATTGGAAATATTCATTGTTTGAAGAAAGTGGCTGCTACTGTTTTCTGGAACTGTTTGATCTTACAGGGTTTTGCACAGGTAGAGAGGGGTTTGCTCCCTCAACATGGTTTTTAACTGTGGTTTGAGAGGGATAGCTACATGGCGGTATTAGGATCTCTATTGAGGGCCACATGGGATTTGGCCTCCCTGAGAAGAGGGATGGTATAGAGGGTATGGAGATTGGTATGGAGGGTTTAATATTTCTTCCCCCACATTGTGCACAGATGATCATAATGGGGAAGCAAAAGTACTTGATAAAAATAAAGAAGGAAATTTGTATTTTGAAAGGTATTATGAATATTAATTATAAACTATTATACTGTTTTCAAGGAGATGCAATTCATGTTAAAGTGGTTTCAAAACTGAACTGTACTAATCTCCATATAGATTTTCTCAATTTATGATGACCAAATGTAATGGTACTTGGAAAGAATCATTCCTGTCATTTTAAATCTAGGTCGTAGCCCCAAATCTGAGAGTATTGATAAATACTGGTACACTCTTAAAAAGAGGTACTAAATGTAGCCATACTACACTAACTAAAAAAATACCAAAATTGGTCTAGCAACTATCAAGACCCATCACCTGTTTCTAGGTATGTGTGTATATATAAGGATTAGAATTTATATCTTTCCTAAAAAATACTGCATAATATATCCTCAAGGAACTGTTTTCAAGTGGGAGAAGAGAAGATGGTGCCATCCAGCACACCAAGGGAGGGAAGCTCCAAGACAATTCATACTGAGTTACCTTAAAGGAGGAAGGCCATCATGTCACTACCCACCTGAAGGTTTTTTTATACTAAAGAATCACAAGACCTATTGCTTCTGTGGGATTCATGCAGGAGCTTTCAGATTTTTTTTTTAACTGATGTGTGCATGTGTGTGTGTGTGTGTGTGTAACTAAATTAAACACCTTTATTCTGTTATTCTATTCTAAATTTTATTCTATTCTATTTTATTCCATTCTATAATATGAAATGCTGACCAAAACCAAATAAATTGATTTCATGATCAGATTTTTGAAAAATATCAGACTGAACCAAAGTATAATGAATAACTTCACAAGAAGTAGTGACTCTAGGTTCTTAAAGTTTGTGGGCAGGTAGCTGTACAAATGAAGATTTATGTTCATTTCCTATGTAACGAATTCAAAGTCAGAAGTTAGGCTGGAGCTTCCCTTGAGGGTAGCTAGGGACTGGAGAGAGAGTGGCAGTGGAAACAGCCTGCATTTTCTCCATATGGGAAAAGTGCATGAGCTTCCTTTTGGCCAATGTGCACTGGGGAATGTAATTGAGTGACAGCTGCCTGACAGGATAAGCATGCTCCAACACAAAGTGGACACGGGCAGAGGGAGAAGCAGAACCTGGTGGGCGGGGAGGGAATTGGGAACTGAGTAGGACTAGAGGAGATTGCTTAGGAAGAGTACTACTCTTGCCTACAGTGCAGTAGTCATGGGGAAGGAGAGCGGGAGAGGAATGCTCCAAAGAACCCACAGTTCTGTTCTACAAAAGAGCTAGTCTTTGGCCAGGAGCCACCGTTAGCCAGAAGAAAAACACAGTGGTGATAGATTTTTCCTGTTTGCCTCTCCTTGAACACTACAGGTATAGGAAGATGGAAGGGAAAGAATGTGGAACGTGAGTCAAAGGCAATATTTCTAGGGTCTTCTACCTTAAGTTGTTAGGCTAAGATTTGTATCAGAACTGGGAGATAAAAGAAAATTTGAACCAGATGATATTAAAATTTTGATGCTCAATTTGACAGTACATCTTAATATCTAAAAGTGAATCTTGGGATCCCTGGGTGGCGCAGCGGTTTAGCGCCTGCCTTTGGCCCAGGGCGCGATCCTGGAGACCCGGGATCGAGTCCCACGTCGGGCTCCCGGTGCATGGAGCCTGCTTCTCCCTCTGCCTGTGTCTCTGCCTCTCTCTCTCTCTGTGTGTGTGTGACTATCATTAATAAATAAAAATTTAAAAAAAAATAAAAATAAAAGTGAATCTTAATTACCCAGTTAAGAACATTTAAGACCTAAAATAACTGGAAGAGTGAGGTGGTCCACTTGAAATATCCAGGGGCCAAAAGGGAGATTTGAAATAAAGTAGGTGGAGAAAAAGAAAGCTTTTTCTGTTTGCGCTTTTATCGAGTCCATTCTTTAAATTGAATATACACTTTAATAATTGAAATATCCATAGACCTTGTTTCTTCATCTTTACATGCCTAAAGTGGGAAATCAGTAGTAACTGTTAAACATTAAGTGGATTAATTTATATTAAATGATTAATAGGGCTCAAAGACCAGTACGAACACTAGTAACAGAGCTGACACAATATAAAGTGATCTTCAAAAGTATGATTTCAAATAAATATATTTTTTAAATTGGGCAATTTATTGGGTAATGGAAACTATTGATTTGTAAACAGAAATTGATTCTATGAATTATAAAGATAAAATATGCTTATTTGTATTTGAATGTTGACTAAAACATAAGCTCTGGAATCTTATGGCCTTGGTTTGGTCTGCAATTTAGCCATTTTCTTTATTGATTGATTGATTGATTGATTTATGTTTATTTTCAAACTTGAGCAAAGAAGTTACCCTGAAACTTAGTTTTTTTTTTTAATTTTATTTATGTATCCCTGAGACACACACACACACACACACACAGAGAGAGAGAGAGAGAGAGAGAGACATAGAGACAGAGACACAGGCAGAGGGAAAAGCAGGCTCCACGCAGGGAGTCTGACATCCTAGGTCTCCAGGATCAGGCCCTGGGCTGAAGGCGGCACTAAACCACCTGGGCTGCCCAGAGCTTTAGTTTCTTTACCGTCTCATAGGAGTAAATACTATGTCTTAGGTGAATTCAGAGAGTCAGCTGAAAAAAAGAAATGTATTTGGTAAACCAGTATGAGTATATTGAATGCTCAACAAATAATATTCTTAAGAGCAAAAAGAATAACACTTAGAAAGCACCTCTTTAGCTGATACTTAAGTTAACATTCTTATTTCCAAGTGCCCTTTGTGCTACTTTCCCCTCCAGATTACCAACAAGAAATCATACTTAATCTTTTCCTTTGGGTATCTGAAAACAATAATTGGAGCTGTTTGTACTTTATCTTAAACTTTGAAAAAGTTTGCATTTTGTAACCCAAATCTAACTTACATTAATAAAAAAATATTTTAAAGAAGACATGGCTGGTCCAGTTGTTTCTATAAATCTTTACCCCAGTGAGAGAAGTAGGTTACGTATATCAACTATAATACTATTAGGGATGTTCTTGTAAATGTAATTATCAATTTGTTTCACAAACACATAGGTTTTAACCAGATTAGTGAGATGATAAATGGGTGAAGATAATTTCATATTCTACAGGCAGCATTAATATTTTAACTGACTTTATATTTTATTTATCCACTATTAATTTTCCTTTAAAAAGAAAGAAGGCTTAAAACTAGGGATACATGTGTTTGTATTTGTATATTCTATTTTAAATCTAAACTTTGATATACATTATATTTATTTAAAAAGCTGACAGCCTAATTATATATCCATGATTAAATATCTTAATAGAGAATGTTAGTCACCATGAGTTATTTTGAAATTATCTCATTATTTTGTTTTCATAGCTTGTTAAAATCATTATGTAAAGATGAGTTCTCAATGCCAATAATTTAATCATAAATAAGCTTATTGATAAATTTACTCTTACTAGTGTCATCAGGCTATATTTATTGTAAAAGCATATATTTACTGAATGGAAATTTAAATTTCTAAATGAAAATATGAATACATGTATAAAGATCTGAAAATTGTAATTTTTGCACTCTATCCTGAAGATGTTGAAGTTATACCTTATGAATCTAGAAAAAAAAAGATTTTTTTATTTTTTTTTTATTTATTTATTTATGATAGTCACAGATTGAGAGAGAGAGAGAGAGAGAGGCGCAGAGACACAGGCAGAGGGAGAAGCAGGCTCCATGCACCGGGAGCCCGACGTGGGATTCGATCCCGGGTCTCCAGGATCGCGCCCTGGGCCAAAGGCAGGCGCCAAACCGCTGCGCCACCCAGGGATCCCAAAAAAGATTTTTTTAAAAAAATTATTCATGATAGAGAGAGAGAGAGAGAGAGAGAGAGAGGCAGAGACACCGGAGGAGGCTAGAAGCAGGCTCTCTGCTGGGAGCCCAACGTGGGACTCGATCCTGGGACTCCAGGATTGCGTCCTGGGCCAAAGGCAG